GCACGAAAAACTGAATTTAACTGGAAGGTTGCTTTCTTGCTTAGTTTTGAATGAGGAAAGAAAGAGGCATGCGTGTGTGTTGTTGTGTGAAGATTGATCTTAAAAGTAGGAATCAGGACTACAAGTGTCCCTGTGTACAAGTTTCCCTAATTACCACGTTGTAGATAAAAACACAAAAGAAGATAGCGGGGCAGGAGAGGTGCTTAGCCTCTTAGTCTTGGGATAAGAAATGACATGTGTGCGTGTGTTTACCTGCTGCTTGGTGGACAGTTTCCGTACGCTGTCTGGTTTGTAGAAAGTGAAGTCCATCATGGCCTGAAAGAGGGAAACCGCCTTCTCAGAGTGACCAGACTGACGCAGGAAGTGACACTGTTGGGTGAAGATATCTGGAGAGACGGAAAGGGTAGACAACCCGGGAACAGTTGCATTATGAGATGCAAGGTGCCAGATGACACACCAAGGTGACTGCCTTGGGACAGAAGCCACTGATAGAACTGGCCAGACTGATAAAGTGAGCGCGGTAGCTGAATAAGTGATAAGAAATGCTGCAGGAACAAATTTCTGTTACCCAACATATCCTCTTCGAGCCCTGGCAGGGCCGGGTGAGAGACCATGCTGCCATCGCGCACCGCACTGAGCGTGCTCAGACACTTCCCGTACGCGGAGTTGACCTTCGACACGGTGAAGTTGCTGAAGTAGCTCTGGGCAAACAGCAGATATTCCCTCCACAGGGGGGCGCTGTTTGGGTGGAGGAACACCTGAGACGCCACAGATGAAACGCGGGTTAGCCTCAGAATCACTCTGAGCTCTGGCCTGCAGACAACATTAGCCAGTGAGCAGAAAGGTTTAGAGAAGCACTCGAGACACGGTGATGGGAAGTGATTTACTTAAATGCGGAGGAGGCTTTGCTTGTGAAAAAAGTAGAGTGATTTTCCACTCTTTAAGAATAAAGAGCAGCAGTCAGTTCATGGAGACGCTTAGAGACTGTAGACTGACCAGTTTCTTCCATTCTTTAGCCAGAAGCGAGGGCTCCCACAGCTCTTGGCAGATCCTGAGCCTCTCCAGCTGCAGAGCGACGCAGCCGTGGTTGGTGGCCACCGCGCGCTCGGCGATGCTCAGCTTCTTCTCCAGGACCGCTCTGTAGGAAGACTTACGCCGCTCGGCCGCGTCGCTGCCCCGTTGCTCCTCCTCGCCGCCGAACTCTGTCGCAGTCAGCTCATCCTAGAGGGAAGTAGTAGTTTAGAAGTAGTGCTCAATAAACAGGTCAGATAAATCATTGGTCTGATAATTATAGTGAAACCGGTGTCACCACAATACAGGGAGTAAAAACATGCACGTGATTTGACATTCAGCATGAGACGCTCTTGTTTCTACAGGGTTTCTACACAGTGACCTTTACTAAATGTACATCTCAAAGCTGGTTGCAAGGCATGTGAAGCAGAATGAAGCGGTGGTCTATTTCGTAACAAAAGGAGCGTCTCCATACCTGGTATCGTATGAATTGAATCCACAGCTGAGCGTCTGCTGGCTGCTCTCTGAGCCGCCGGTTAAACTCTTCAGTCCTCCCGGCCAAGGGCGCGTCGCTCTGCCCCGCCTCGCTGTCCTGCCGCTCCGTCTGCTCCTGCTTTCCCTTCCCCTGCAGCCAGAGGGCCGTGGAGGAGTCATACACACCGAGAGGGTTGACCGACCCTGTCTGCACTCTGACACCTGGATTGACACATGGCATTTAGTTGTCAACCATCAGCTAAGGTCTTTGACTTACTTTTTGAGATTGTTGTTAGCCCCCTTCGCCGGCTGTTGTGGCTGAATCTCTTACCCGTCTCTCCTTCTTTGTTCCCCTCATCGTCGGCCAACGGGAGGAAGGAGGTGGGGCTGATGTCCTTGCTGCACTCAGGAGCCTTAGGTAACGTGGGAGCCGGGGGCTCGGACCTCAGCAGCTGGCGACTGACTGTGGAGAAGTATCGGTCTGCTGCTGCTTTCTTCTTGTCTTTCTGTTTCTTATTTGGCTCCTCCCAGCTGACTACCTGTCTGCGGGGGTCCAGGCCCAAGGATGAGCTGCCTTTCCTCCTATACCTGAAACGCACGTAGAGTGTCAACACACTTCGACAACACGGAGGCTTATATGTTCACTCCTCATGAGAGGAGCCGAGATGGTATGTTGCAATGTAAAATAATTGCTTTGATTTCTAATTAAAACGAAGAACCAACAGTGAGATGGGTTAGTCACTACGGGAAGGAGGGAGATGCCAAGGCATTGGCCTCGTGGTCTAACGTGTGTTACCTGGCCACGTCTGCTCTGTACAGGGACTTGTAGGTCCAGTTGGCCGGGTCGGCTTTACGGTCCACACAGAACGGCTGCTCCGTGGGCGACTTGAGGTCATCTAACCAGGAGAAGCAGCTTGCTATCGGAGCCGCCTGGGGACTGCATGGCAGCACAGACGGCAACCATAAATACAGAAAAGAAGTCAGCTGGTGCTTTTGTGAATACGATTAAGAGAGTAAGCGTGTGTGATGTAAATCTGTGCGTCCATACCGATCAGACTCTTGTTCCCTTTTGAGGTCACTGGGGAAAACGGTTTCCGAGTCTGTCCCACTGCTGTCCGAATATCTCCCACTCTTCTTTTTGTGTTTTTTCTTCTTTTTCCTCTTCTTTTCACTTTTCTTTTTCTTCTTTTTCGGTGGCAAATTACCCTCCTCCTTCTCCTCCTCTGCAGAGCTCACATCCTTGCCAACACTGAGGATTATAAGGTGAACACAAGAGTAGCAAACATGAACTCCAGTGTCCAGTGGTGGGTCTACAAGCAATGAAACAAGCTTTTGGTTTTTGACCTGTACCTTGATTCTTTCTCGTTCCGCCTCTCACTGGTCTTCTCAAAGAAACGACTGTGAAGAGAAAGGGCATCACCAGTCTGGAAACTCTTATTATTCAGCCAGTTCAATTCTAAAAGGAGAGAGTGGATGAAAAACATGTTACTTAATATACAGGTGGAGGATGGAGAGATACTGATGGGGAGTCGCTGATGGGGAGCCGCTCTCAGTGTCTTTACTGCATGTAAAGACACTGAGAGTATGCCGGTCTAACTGGGGAGGGGGAGGTTGTAACATGCCGCATTACTAATTAGAGAAGCTGAATCCATATGATGCACTACAGTCTAAGAAGCCAGACAAACCCGACTGAGTTGGCTCAGTGGGTACAGAAAGGTCACAGACATGACCGCTCTACTACGGAGGATCAGGTCTGCGTGGAGCGGACTAACCTAGAGAAAAGACTGTGTAAATAAACCCGCCAATGGATGTAAAGGTAGTGACAACAAGAATATTTTCTCCCTTTAAACGAACATTAACGTTACAATAGGTGGAGAAGAATGAGATAGCCGTAGTAGCAGATATACAGAGACACAGAGTATTGAAAGCATTCAGCAGTCCGGCTGCACAAATATCATCAAGGCAGTATGGCGACATTGTCTCGTTGCTCACTTTGTCTTTCTAGATGTAACGTTACAAGAACGCAAATAAAACGTTATGTAGTTGTATGTCGTTGCTAAGGCAATGCAACCATAACACCATATTTGTTTGATCTATTAACGGAATGTAACAAAAGTGTAAAATTCCGGATATACCAATACTAGACGCTAGCCTGGCTTTCAGAAGCAGCCGTATGAGGGAATGTGAACTAACGTTAGCTAATTGACGAGAAGGAAGCTAACGCTAACGTCTGTCATTCAAATGCAGCGGACAGCCGACGTTGAGACAGGTAATACCAACTGGCTCGTAGTTCAACAGGTTTATTATCTCAACGCGATGAAAACAAAGCGTAGAGGCGACTATCCGTCCATATAAAAATGTGAGCTACACGAAAGAATGATCACCTTTTGAAGGATCTTCAACTTTGTCACTCTGTAGATCAGCAAAAGCTGGAAAGAGAGCCATGATGGTAAGTCGCACATAAACAGTCGCAGGAACATGACGTCATTTGACGGGGCAAGAGCAAAACATTTGAAAAACATTTTATTACCCTAGTATTGCTTTTGATGTTAAAATGGGGAATTGAATTGGTCATGGTGATTTAAGATAACAGTTATTTTACAGGTATTTTACTTTTCTTAACCCCCTTAAATGTCATAAAAAAGTAGTTATGTGCACAATTAAATATTATATCTCGAAAAAATACATGAATTAAATATTCTTTTTGAAATTATGTAAATCTATTTTTTAATTAACTGCTGTTTTTTTCTTTATTATTTTGTATATCTTATGTCTTACATTAAGATTGTGGTTTCGATTGTTAAAACTCTTATTTTTATGAGATGGTAATATGTGTTTGAATAAGAAGAATATAATAAGTTAACGTAAAATAATGAACGGTTAAAAATGAACAATATAAAGGTACTAATAACGTGATGAAGTTCCCTTCTATTAACCTTAAAATGATGGTTTCACAAGCTCTGGTGCACTCCATTATATTTGGTCTGGTGCCGCCTGCAAGCAGCCCTGTGTTGGTCTGTAAATTTGGGGTTGAACTTTAACGCCCTCTTTTGCCGAAGGGTGCACTTCTTTTGTGGCGACATAACGCGTGATATGTATTAGATTTGCTACTAGTCACTTTACAAACATGAGACATCTGAGACATACAGATATGTATATGTATATGTAAGGTATGCGTTGACGAAGATAATGATCTATCGCGCCTCAGTGTTCCCCTATCATATAATGTATATATATATATATATATATATATATATATATATATATATATATATATATATATATATATATTAGATGGATTAACATCTCTGGAGAGGTTTAGTGAGTTTCTGGGGAGTTTCAGTAGCAACGCTGCTGTGTACTGGATTATAGTTGGTGTTACCAGGGCTACGGAGCTACTACAAGGCTAGGAGACTAAGTTGTGTGGACCAATGAGATGTCCGGTAAGCTTTGACCGACATTCAGTTGGTCCAATAGCATTTCTCGGTGTGCCGTTGTTGGCGCGCCCGCCGAGTGTTCCGGTTAGTCCGTAGTTGGAGCGCTAAAGTGTAACAACGTCACAACTAAACTGTCTGTTTTGCTCGTTATTCTTTTAAGAAACTTTTTTATTACCATCAACATGAGGGAAATCGTGCACCTGCAGGCCGGCCAGTGTGGAAACCAAATAGGAGCTAAGGTAAGCGACGCTTTGTTTTTAGAGGGAATTATTAAATCAAAAAAAAGTGCGTGTGTTTTACCGAGTTTGGGGCGGGCTGATCCGTTAGCTTACTAGCCAACGACTGCTAACGTATCGGCCCTCAGTCTCCATGCCAACACTGGGTTAGACTCGTTACGATGCGTCATGCTAGTAAACTGGCTAATTTACCCTTTGTCATCAACTCTTACTCCTATTTTTAGTTCTGGGAGGTGATAAGCGATGAGCATGGCATCGACCCGTCCGGGACGTACCACGGGGACAGCGACCTGCAGCTGGAGCGCATCAACGTGTATTACACCGAGGCATCAGGTGTGAACTTTACCTTTACGCTAGTTAACTTAATTGTAGAGGTGAGCCACGGTAATTCAATAGCGGGGAGCGGGGCGATCCGGGGGGGGGGGGGGGGGGTCGTCGTCGTCCCTGTGCCCCGGCGGAAGCCGCTAGGAGCTGCAGACAGCGCGCCTCTCGAGTTACCGTCGCCGTTTCCATGGTGCAAGTAAATCAACAAGCCGATGAGGTTATCCCAAATATATAGGAGGCATATGTTCGTTATCCTTAGTTTAGGCATATTTTGAAGCCAGGGCCTGTGACTAAAAACCTAATAACGTAACACTAACAGAACGAGGAGAAAAGCGCCTGGGTACTGCTCAGTCCTCACCTGAGAAGTTGTAGCTTGTGATAATGCTCTTAATGTGTCTACTTGTTTGCAATCTCCAGGTGGCAAATATGTCCCCCGTGCAGTGCTGGTGGACTTGGAGCCGGGCACAATGGACTCCGTGAGGTCCGGTCCCTTCGGCCAAATCTTTCGTCCAGACAACTTTGTCTTTGGTGAGAATTAAATCATCGACCGTCATTGTTTTTTTTCTTCCCTTCATGGCCCATATTTTAAAGCTGTGTATTCATACAGGGAATCAGGCACTACTCATTGCAGTGTGGCAGACTTTAGAGACACCAAAGCGCTGACGCATGACTGTATTTGCATCCATCGCAGGCCAGAGCGGAGCAGGAAACAACTGGGCCAAAGGCCACTACACCGAGGGAGCCGAGCTGGTCGACTCGGTCCTGGATGTGGTGAGGAAGGAGGCGGAGAGCTGCGACTGCCTCCAGGGCTTCCAGCTCACGCACTCCCTCGGGGGAGGCACTGGCTCCGGCATGGGCACCCTGCTCATCAGCAAGATCCGAGAGGAGTACCCGGACCGCATCATGAACACTTTCAGCGTGGTGCCGTCTCCCAAGGTTCACATGACACTCAAAGACATTTCAGCTTCAAATACTTGTCCCTCCACACGCTCCCCAGTGCTTTAAATGCCGCTGCCCTTTCCTCCCTTTTGTCTCCTCTGCATCCTCCACGCTGCCTCTCCAGGTGTCTGACACCGTGGTGGAGCCGTACAACGCCACCCTGTCCGTCCACCAGCTGGTGGAGAACACGGATGAGACCTACTGCATTGATAATGAGGCCCTGTATGACATCTGCTTCCGCACGCTGAAGCTCACCACGCCCACCTACGGTGACCTCAACCACCTGGTCTCGGCCACCATGAGCGGGGTGACCACCTGCCTGCGCTTCCCCGGTCAGCTCAACGCCGACCTGCGGAAGCTCGCGGTCAACATGGTGCCTTTCCCCAGGCTTCACTTCTTCATGCCGGGCTTTGCACCGCTGACCAGCCGGGGCAGCCAGCAGTACAGGTAGAGGGGCGGGAACTCGCTTCATAGAGACCGTAAACTCGAGTTTAATGAATTTTGAAATGAATCCCAATTTATATTGTCTGTCTCCTTTTTAGGGCCTTGACGGTTCCCGAACTCACCCAGCAGATGTTCGATAGCAAGAACATGATGGCAGCATGCGACCCCCGCCACGGGCGCTACCTCACAGTCGCCGCCATCTTCCGAGGCCGTATGTCCATGAAGGAGGTGGACGAGCAGATGCTGAACGTGCAGAACAAGAACAGCAGCTACTTCGTGGAGTGGATCCCCAACAACGTCAAGACGGCCGTCTGCGACATCCCGCCCCGCGGCCTCAAGATGGCCGCCACCTTCATCGGCAACAGCACGGCCATCCAGGAGCTGTTCAAGCGCATCTCCGAGCAGTTCACCGCCATGTTCCGCCGCAAGGCCTTCCTCCACTGGTGAGTGAAAGAGACATCCCACAGCTGGGAGGTTTGCCCGTAATTTGCTTCTTACCCAGAATTCACTGGGGTTATGCGTGCTAGTAACGGTTCACATGTTTCAGGTACACCGGCGAGGGCATGGACGAGATGGAGTTCACAGAGGCTGAGAGCAACATGAATGACCTGGTGTCCGAGTACCAGCAGTACCAGGAGGCCACTGCTGAGGAAGAGGGCGAGTTCGAGGAGGAGGGTGAAGAGGACATGGCCTAGACACCCAACATGACCTCCTTTCTTTCTATGCAACAATCATTGTTCGTATTGTCGTAGAATTGTTGACGACTGGCTGTAAAACAAACAGTTAAAAAGAGTCTCCCTGCATCTCCACTGATAGAACTCTGGTCGAGCCGTAGCAGGAATGCAAAGCAGTTCTCCAGTCTTGGTTTTTCTCTGTCTCTTCTGTCTTCTTATTTCCTGCTTTTCAAAGAAAACGATTTCATCAGGAACTGGTCAGACCAGATCATAGCTGGATTTTAATAAAGATTTTATGAATTGGTGCTGTGTAGTGTTTTTCTTTGTGGCTAGTTATAAATATAACTTTTTATGACAGATATTGTAATCCACATAACGGATTCTCACGCATGCGCGGCCGCTTCTGCTTCTTCTCTATCGATTCGCCGCATCCCCCCCGTACTGTCCGAACCTGAAATGAGTTTGACATCGTCAGATTAATTTCTAAAACCTCCCGTCCGCTGTTATTAAAACACACCTCACTTAAACACAAAGTACAACTGTGAACACTTTTCTCTCCTTATATTTGTGTGTGTTCTTGTGATACATGTCTTCGTCTTTAATCACCAGGTCGCGGTTTCTGATAAGACATCTCTTGGTACATTCTGCTTGACATTAGTGCGTATTTGTGAGAATAAGACAACAGGAGTCAACCCATTCATAACGGATACATCTCCATATCCAATATAATTCTGTCTGAGTGACTCACACACTAACTTTAAGAATCAAATCGTCCACAAATGCACCAACTTCATTTGCATTTTCAATGATGCTTTTGTCATAAGTTCTGTGGCATGTAAGATTACTTTTTAATACTCAATGAAAATACAGCATTTTGTGCATGACAAAAAACACTTTAAAATGTCCTCTGCACCAGCAGTGTGTTACAGTTGTTTTCAAGAGATTCACCAGCGTTTACAGACCTAAACCATTAGATGTATATCTGATATAAAAGATGAACATGAGGCGAAAGTAAAGGCATGTTGCCCTCCAAGAAGCACATCATGAGAGCAGAAATAGATCCATTATGAAACATTTCCTACTAGAGCCAATATTGCAAATAATGTCATGTCAAGAATGGGGGTTTAACAAAACAAGACTATGTCTGTATCTTTTGTACAATAAGTTGGTGTATGAGATGTCAGCTGAGGTAGGATGACCGCTCAGGGTATGAAATCTGTGTGACATACATGTCCGGTGTCCAGAAGGCCACTCCATGCTGATCAGATGTATGTCTCAGGATAAGTAACATGACGGTCCTTGTACAATGACATCATTGTACGTGCGCAAGACCTTCCTGTTTATCATACCGCATCCCAGTATATATGTGGGGGCTGGAAAAGAAGACCTGCGAGCAGGCTTTGCACATGAGTTGTATGTGTGTCAACTCTGTCTCCTATTTGCAAACATTAAATATCCTGTTTTTGATCATTTTACACTGGTGTCGAGTATTCATTTTTCTAACATCAACCAACCAGTGTCTAGATTCTCTGAAAAAAATCAATTGAATTTTTACATATGTATTGTGTTGTTTATTTTACTAACACTAATGATTGACGCTTATGATCACTTACCTCTTGCTGATATATTTGCATGTTTTGCAACATCCATATACATTTAAATGTATTTTAGAATATAGTTATGGTTAAGGTAGTTGATTCTCTACCGATCCAAGGAGGCTTTTAAAAATAACTGTTTTTTTAAACTAGCACCACGGTTTGGTAGTAGATACTGAATATTTAACTGGTAGTCCTCCCTGGAACTATCTCGGTACAATCATACCCTATCATACCCTTGGGATGTCTGGGGATGACTTACAGGCAGAGCACAGCGCCCCGAGATTTGTGATGCGACTGCACAGCCTGCACATAGGGAGAACTCATCAACCCTTGCATTCAGCAGCACCAAGCCAAGGACCACTGAGAAAAGGAGAACAAGAATCGCCACAACAAAATAGTCTATAACTGCAAAACAGAATTGATATAGTCTCAGAGGGTCCTAAATCTTCATTTGATGACCTGGATAATCAGCTATCTATTCTCAAAGCAAAAACTAAATGTGAACGCAGAAGGCCAGAGGTAGAGCTATCTCAGCCTGAGTTGGTAAATATGCTGTGAAAGAGTTTGGAACGATTTGCGGAAATAACATAAAAATACTCTGCTCCTCAAAAGATATAGTCTCTAACCCAAGAGACAACATTTTCTGGGTGCGCAGACACCTTTTTAAGCCAGATGGAGTTTGGCTAAACAAGTCAGGGGTAAAACTATTTAACTCCATCCATTTTACTTTCTGCGTCACCCGGCCACTCCCAGTGCCAAGGACAAGAGACAAGACGAGAGATAACCAGACAACATCACCATAGAGAACCTTAGGGAAGGAGGCCCCTGGCTGATGGAGAGCCAAAAGAAGGAGTCCCTAACCTCATCATCAGGGACCTGCTCTGATCAGCAACTTCTCCCCACCTCCGAGAGGAGGAGTCATCACCTCCCTCACATGCACCTACTTCCACCCCCGAGACTGGATCCAGAACTCCCTCCCCTCCACCCATCCGCCTTCCTCACAGATTTCACTGACTACATGAAAAAGCTCAAACTCACTCCCCGCCCCACTATCATTTTCTCCCCAGTTCCATCTTCGCATCGAGCTCCCCCTCCTCCAGTGGATCTTTCCTCAGCCAGATTTGAAACACGTCGAGCTCCACCTCCTCCACCGGATCTGTCCTCCGTTTTGAAACGATTGAAGCGCTGTGGCCTTCAACCATATGGGTACAAACTCAGAGTAGCAAGAAACAAGAAAGTGTAATTTCATCAAATAAGCCAATTTACAATTTGCTATATATAAGTGGCATTAGTACAATTTAAGTGCTACAACTTGTTAGTCTTTTAGTCGAGGTAGAGTCTGAAGAGGTGTGTTTTTAGTTTGCGGCGAAAGATGTGAAGGCTCTCTGCGGTCCTGATGTCATCAGAGAGCTCGTTCCACCATTTCGGGCAATGTCATCCGCTGTGCTGAGAGGGTGATCGGCTGCAATCTACCGTCCCTCCAAGACTTGCTTTCGTCCAGGACTCTGAGGCAGGCAAGGATAAAGTATCACCTTGGGAACCTTTGTGTTCATTTAAACTGTGCTTTATAAATAAAACTGTTTGGATTGGATTCCTGATAATTGATATATTTGGGGTCCAAACAAGACTAATGACACCAATGCGGTGTTTCCCCAACCATTATAACAGGAGTATGGATGAGTCTGCTCCGATGCTTGCTTTGTAAAACGAGCGGGACAAGTCACATCTGGGCATTTTGACAGTTCTGAGAGAGGTGAAGACTTTAGGCCAAAATGCCCTTACTCTGACCTTGTTATCAAAACGAATCCCTGAATCAGGCCTCAACTACCTCTGGATTACGACCATGTAAAAAAAAGAAAAGGTCTTTACATTGTATGAATTCAATACAAAGTTTGATTAAAACTAATAATAAAACAACAAACAAAAGAAAAATGTCCCCTTTCGTGAATCTGATTGAATCACAGTTTTCCGTCTCCGTGGTAACAGCAAGAGCTTTGTAGCATGTTCTTAACTGGACAAGTTGTGATGTTGTTCTTGTCGTATCTATGGCAACGAATGCATCATCTGTGATGCTGCATGACATGCCTTCCGTCGCCATATATACGCTAGAAATAGAACTTGAATTTAGCTTTGATCTTTCAACGCTGTCACTTTTAAAGGACACAGCCTACTGGAGACATCAGAGTTTTTCACATCACCACAGGATTCTTCAAAACGCAATATGAACTGCAGAACTAACCCCCACGTACAAAAGCTGACAATAGAGCTTAATTGTGCAAACAAGGAAATTTCCAGTCAGAGGAAACTGATAAGTGAACTACAGACATTCGAAAAGAAGTCTGTAAATCAGTTCGAGACATTCCGCGCCCGGGCCAAAGCTGACAAAAATAAAATAGTCCACCTTCAACAGCATATAAAGCTCTGTGATAAGACTATAAACGGTCTGAAGTTAGATCTGAAACTACAAAAAAATGTTAGTGCTGACCTGACTAATAAGTTTAAGAAAGAAAAAAATACGCTCGCTGAGGAAAACAACCTGCTCATGGAACTTTACAACACCAGAGATGGGCCGTCTTTGTTGATCAAGGAAACCAGAAAACGTCTGATTCAACGAGAACAGGAGAATCTCGAGAACGAAAAGGCGTGGATGGAGAAATACAATCATCTGCAGACGATCTTCCAGATACAGAGAAACTGTCTGGAGAGGAAGTTCAAGAATGAGTTGGTCGAGAAAGAAAAGTTGTTAGACACAGTAAAAGAGCTTGAGAAGTCCTGTTCTCATCTCCAGGAGGATCGGAGAATTTTGTTGACAGACAACGTGCGTTTGAGTATAGATAACAGCTTGCTGAAGAGGGGAATCGAGGCCATAAAGGAAAACCCGTGCATGACCAACAACAGGTTTGAGACAGAAGAAAGCAAGATAAATGAGATGCCGAAAGGCAAATGTAGAAATGAGATTGAACTCAAACAACTGAAGGAAATAAACAAGGAAGATGAGGACATTCTCCTTGAAACGAGAAAGAATAGAGGCTTCTTTAGCAGAAAGACGGAGGACAGAGAGACTGAGTCGAAGAAAAGGAACGCACAGCCGGACATTTTCCCTGAAACGAGAAAGAATAGAGGCTTCTTTAGCAGAAAGACAGAGGACAAAAAGACGGAGGACAGAGAGACTCAGTCGAAGAAAAGGAACGCACAGCCGGACATTTTCCCTGAAACGAGAAAGAATAGAGGCTTCTTTAGCAGAAAGACAGAGGACAAAAAGACAGAGGACAGAGAGACTGAGTCGAAGAAAAGGAACGCACAGCCGGACATTTTCCCTGAAACGAGAAAGAATAGAGGCTTCTTTAGCAGAAAGACAGAGGACAAAAAGACAGAGGACAGAGAGACTGAGTCGAAGAAAAGGAACGCACAGCTGGACATTCTACTTGAAACGAGAAAGATTAGAGACTTCTTTAGCAGAAAGATGAAGGACAGAAAGACTGAATCGAAGAAAAGGAACGCACGTGTCTGTCCCGAGTCTTCCCCCATCCTCTGACCGAGCTCACAACCAGATGGTGATCAGTTGACAGCTCTGCCCCTCTCTTTACCCGAGTGTCCAGAACATGCGGCCTCAGATCAGACGATACGATTACAAAATTGATCACTGATCTTTGGCCTAGGGCGCTCTGGTACCACGTACACTTATGAACATCCTTATGTTCGAACAT